GAGGCCCAGAAAAGCTTGTAACTCAGCTTTAGACTTAGGCAGCTTTAGACTGGTGGCAGTGCTGCTGCTGGTAGTTTCAAATACGTCATAACAGAAAAACAATTTGGCTCAGCTTTTGAATACAGTTGACATTGATAAACAGAGATCTGGATTTGCCCTTGAATTAGTGTGTAATCCTTATTTTTTGGAATTTAAAAAAACACTAATGCACAACATTTATTCTTGATATGCTAGTCTTCTTGTTCTTTTTTTTATTCCATTCAATCATGCCTGATTTTTGGAAGCTGCCTGAACAAGTCCCTGCAGTTTTCTTGGCAAGGTTTTTCAAAAGTAGTTTGCCATAATCTCCTTCCTGGGGTGTAGAGAAAAAGACTAGCCCAAGGTCATCCAACTGGCTCTGTGCTTAATGTGAGATTAGAACTCTTACTCTGCTTCTTTTTAGCCTGTTGCCTTAACCACTACACCAAATTGACTTCCTACTTGCATTCAAATATGCAGAATTGGATAGTAGTGGAAATGATGTTCTGAACTTGTATAGTCAAGTCTTTTCCACCACTTATTTTTGCTGCATTCAGAGAAAACCATATCTTTATGCAAAATGACCAAATAGCAATAGCACCTAGACTTATATACCGCTTCAAAGTTCTTTACAAAGCACTCTCTAAATGGTTTATAGACACAACATATTGTCCCCAACAATCTGGGTCCTCACTTGACTGACCTCAGAAGGATGAAAGGCTGATTCAACCTTGAGCCCTGTCAGGATCAAACTCCTGGAGTGAGCAGTGAGTTAGCTTGCAGTACTGCATTCTAACCACTGTGCCACCACAGGCTCTTGTCAAACACAGATGAATTCAATTATTCCAACAGAGATATTGTCTTGCACACAGTATGTATGTCAACTGGCCTTTTCTATATTACCGTAGGAGCAACTCTGTGATTTCAAATTAGGCTCCGAATGAGGTTGCTGAAGGTGAAGAAGTTAAACTTCAGCTTTTGTTGACATGCATTTCCCCAACATCACATGAGATCATTCTTGGTCTCTAAATGCTGTTGAAGTAGACTGAGAATGGGAAAAGATGATGAATGTTTTTTTTATTAACAGGGCTTAAAGTAATTTTAATAGCCTAACAAGGGTTATTATTTTCCCATGTGTTCAACAATAGCAGTACTAAAACTTCTCAGCTGAAATAAAGAAATCATAGTTAAGAACAGGATTGGAGAGATCCAGTTTTGTGACAAGATTGATTGCTTTGTGAAGAATAAATTCCTGGCTTTGAAACATACACACACATGTGTGCACACACACACAAGTTGTATATAGCGCCAACTGTGTTACATCAGGGTACTCTTTCAAGGCTTTAAACTAGTCACCTTTTGTGATTTCAAAGCAAATAATGTGAACTTTAACTTTTAACAAATGCATTTTCTACTTGGAAATAATTATTAGGTAAGAGATGGTGAAAATGTATTGTGCAGTTCTGCAGACACCTATTTGGTCAGTGTAAGTTATGCATGGTCTATTCCCTTACATGTGCATGTGTTTGCATATGTGCATGTATCACATGTCTCTTTATTATCTTAGTTATCTTAAGCTCCTCTACTTCTTTGGAAGAAATTCTACCTTGTATGAAACAGCCCAAATTTTCTCAAGAGTCATCACTGTGTTTGTATTCTAGTTAGCTGAGAGGAAGGATCACTGTGTTTATATTCTAGTTAGCTGAGAGGAAGGAGTTCATAAATGTTTCCCCTAAAATCAGCTGTTTGACATACTAGAGAAAAATTCCATTCTCTAGTAGCTCTGCTAAAAGAGAGTAGTCCATTATGTTTGCAATTCAGATTATAAACACAGAAAACATGAGAAGCAAATGTTTCCATTTGGCCACCTATTGAATATAAATTATAGCTGAGCTTACTCAGTTTTCAGGCTTGCTTTAGTTTCCACCGACAGTTGCATTAATAGTTATTTCTAATCCAATGAAATCATTAAAATCTTCCTGTAACTTTGAAGGAATAAACATTCCAGACATCCAGCCCCTAACAGTCAACAAAATTCACAGATTTCATGCATATTGATAACAAGAAACTTCTAACATTTTCAAGACTAACACACTACAACGTGAGTTTTCTCATAATGTCTACTTCATTAGATACATGTTATCAGAAATTTATTCTTAAGTATTATGTCTCTGCATGTAACAGCACGACATACCATTTTATTTCTCTAGAGTCATGCATCTGATGAAGTGGACTGTAGTCAATTAAATAAAGCTAACACTACAATACTATTGTTTTTGCTACAGCAGATTAATGAACTAACCCCTTGGTAATCACATGTTTTTATCATAATATATAAGAGTAAAATGTCTGATGGCTAGATTAGAAGTAGGGGAAGATCAGTGACTCTGCATATTGTTAAATCTGCAGGGATGATTTGAAAGAGGGTATTATTATCCGGTGCTTATGATTGTAAATTTATATAGCCTACTTGTAAGCAGAGAAGCAAATTTGGGTAAATTAACATTGGCAGCTGACTGGACTACTTGCAAATGGAATTATATTACAAAAGAGATACTAGTTATATTTCACTCAAAACCTCCAATATGATTGCTACAGAAATAAATGATCAATTACTATTTCCATTGCATATATTCAGCCACTGACACATTACACATCTTGGCAATGTATTTCTGATGTAAAAAAAAAAGAATTCTTACACTATACTTAAAGTGTCCTGTGCTATCCTATGCTATACTTGAAGCAGATGCTTCCTTTCTAACAAATACTATATGTATGTGGAAAATTATAATACATGAGGTATGTCAGTGATGGCGAACCTTTTAGAGACCAAGTGCCCAAACTGCAATCCAAAACCCACTTATGCATCGTCAGGTGCCGGGTGAGTGTGGCCCATTGGGAGGGGTGGCCCATTGGGTGGGCGTGGCTGCAGTGGTAACAGCAGACTGGGTGGGACTAAAAAGTTCAATCAATCAATTCCAACTTTGCAAGCTTTTTTTTTTCTGGCGAGAAGTTGAAATTGACTGATTGATTGAACCTTTTTTTTTTTGCACGCGGTGGCGAAGGCCTAAAGCGAAAAGGTTTTATAAAACCCAGCTGAAGGCCTAGGACTGGGGCAATGGCACGCGTGCCCACAGAGAGGGCTCTGAGTGCCGCCTCTAGCACCCGTGCCATAGGTTTGCCACCACTGAGGTATGTGTTATATATATGGGGTTTCTGATGATTTATGTGACTGAAAAAAGCAGTAGTTAATTTTGCTATACTATTGATGTTAGAGATGTGGGGCATTATCTTTAATCCCCATTAAACTCCATACCTGGTTAAGAAGAAGCTACAGCGTAATTGATGAGTTAGGTGACAAAACTAAGTTTCTAAGGATCAGGGATCTATTCATGCGTTTTTATATCATGGCTATTTTCTTAGTTGACCTTTTTTCTACTGTGAAGTACACTGGTCTTCAAAAGAGACTTCACATGGCAGTGGTCAAAGGAGGACACATAATTCTGGAGAGGCATTCATTCTTCTCTCCAAAGGTCTCTAGCAGCAGAGTTGTAGCACAGCCAATACCCACATCAACTGGAACTGAAGGCAGCCATAATTCAACACATCTAGTGATGCCAGGTTAGGAAAGGCTTTTCAATAGCAGCTGCATATGTGGCCTCAAAGAGTTCCTTCAAACACCCTTTTAACCCAATGCAGTCTCCAGGAATGCTTGCTGCTTTTTGGCATCAGGAGACAATTTCAAAAATTCAGGATGAAAATGTTCCTATTCGCCAGTTGCATATTGGGAAGAGGGGAGTGTGTTTCCAGTAGTAACCATTTCTACTTAGTGAACAGCAAACTATGGAGATCTTAGAAAAACTGTGCTTCCAGCGTCCTTAACCTAACCATGTCACAGTATGATACAGAGGCATTGATAATATACCCTCCAACACAGAGAATCAAATCTAATGTGCTTAGCTGCCCAAACAGAAAAAACAAAAAAATAAAGGAACTGAATATTTGTCTGGTTCCTGGGCATGGTGGGCACAGTGCTGAGAACTTGGATATCAGGATTTGTCAAAAGAAGCAAGGACTCAGGAAGAAGATAGGCTTCTCCCCTTTGGGCCCTCAAGATGAAACTTATACAGAGCCTGTTGCTTAAGGAGAAGAGTGGAAACTTCAGCGACCTCCAGTCTTCCATCCTTTCCCTTTTTTCTGATAACAGAGAAGAAGCAAAGTTCCCATCTTCAACCAAACTTGTGAGGCAGTGGAGACACACAGCAACAGGTCATGGGTGGTGAAGATCATAAGGACATCTAAGAGGGGTGTTGGAATCAATAGGAAAGGAAGCGGAAAGAGTGAATGTCCACGGATGTTGGGCACAGCTGAGGGCACTGCCTGGAAAAGGGGGAGAAGGGAGTTATTATTGGAGGAGTCGCCAGCGCTGCTTCCCCAAGGCCACAGCCCCTTTGGCAAGCCCACTCCCCTCTTCCATCCTTGGGATGCGAGGGTCCCCGGCTTTGCTTCGTTCATCCTTGCATGCAACTTCTCAATTTTCCAACCAGGGCACCTTTGATCACGTAAAAGAAAGGGGATAGAAGATAGTCCAGCCAAAATTGGCTTTAAGAAGGCGCAGGACAGGCGAATGCTGCGATACCCACGCCCACTCACTACGTTGCTCTTCTTTGTAGCCAAGGGGAGGGGGGGCCGTCGGAGGAGTATTGCTCCCTTATAAAGGTTACACGCCCGCTCTTGAAAGCTGCTTCCCACACACCCCATGTTTGCACGGATACACACATACACACACCAGCTTCACCGCCCGTCACAGTTTGCCTCCGTATTGATCGGCGCTGCCTGGCCGCGCTTCCCCTGCAATTCCAGGTAGTAAATCAGTGCCAGGCGACTCCACCTCCCGGCGTTGCCATTGGGTGCCTGCTGTGCTCCGGTCACAGTGATTGGTCGCCTCGCGGGCACAAGCCTTTACATAAGAAGGCGCTCGCTCTGCTGACTTGATAGAGCTGGAGAGATACACATTCACGCACGCCAAGCCCGAAAGAGCGGCGGCCAGGCGAGCGGACACTATCGCTACAAGCACCCGCACGTGAACAGGGCAGTCCGCCTGCCTGCCCGCTCGGAATGTTTCGCGGCCAGCTGGTAGGCATGGAGCTGCCCCGGCAATCTACTTGCCCGGTGAGTACAACTGTTTCTTACCCTACTGTGCACATCCCGACCCGAGCAAAGTTTTCCAAATTCCCAGAGAGATGGAGACTTTGGGCGGGCAGAAAAGTTGCAGTTGGCGAATGATGCGGGGCGGGAGGGGGCTGTGTAAGCACAGTCGAGGGCCACGTGAGACTGGCGGGCGGAATTTTGGGTTGAGGGATGGGATTCTGGGAGAGAGCGGTGGGGAGGGGCCGCGTGAAGAAGCCCGGGCTTCGGAAACCAGAGAGTAAGGAGTGGAAGTGAAGGTTTGGCAGATGTGATGGGGACGAGGAAGCACTTTTCTGCGCTGGGGATGTGCGGAAGAGCCGCTGTGGAGACAGCTATCGGCTGTCCAATGGCGCGCTGGATCTTCCTGAGCAGGGAGCTGTTTCTTGGAGTGCTCGCCTCCGGCAGTGAGCAAAAACGGAGCGCCAAGGTGACTGCTGCTCTCCAGATTGCACTAGTGCTGCTGGTGGCGGCAGCTGCTAGTGGTAGCAATGCCAGTGTTGAGGTTGGCTTGGTACCCTGCAGTTTGACATGGCCGAGGAAAGGCATGGTTCCAACTCTGAAGTGTAACTCTATGGGGCCCGGAGTTCTGACTGCTTCCTGAAAATCTGATAGGTCTGGTTCCAAATTCTTTGATTTTGTGGGGGAAAAAATAACACTTGCCTGCAGTATTAATGCAGGATCTGGGCTGGGAATAATAAACTCTAGAAAGACAGCAATGCAGACAAAGCCAATAGCTTTTCTTAGTTAGTGACTCCAGAAAAAAAAACAATTGGAACCAGAAGCAATACTGGGCCATTACTGAGGCTCAAACCTGAATTTTATGATGTCAATGCTTTTGATTGGTTGAACTTGTTTGCCCTCCTGCACTTTGAACAAGAATCTGGTGGGTTGGCATCTTGTGACATTTCTTAACTAGGTTGATACCAGCAGAAGTCATTGGCTGAACAGACATGATGTCATTGAGAAGGATGCAGAAATACATTTAGACAAATACTCTGTGAACTAGTGATGTCACTAGTCTACAATGAGGCAGAAAACCCTGTATCATTGAGACTTTTGGAGAAGCATTTATACCAGTGGCTCCCGGCCTTTTCTATACGCCCGCACCCCTAGAACTCTTCTGATATACCTCTTACAAAAGTTCAAAATAAAGGCAACGAATTACGCATATACACTATAATTTTGAAAACCCAAATTTTCGCACCCCCTGGAATATCGTCTCGCACCCCCAGGGGTTGCAAGCACACCCAGTTGAGAACCCCTGATCTATACTATATTGGTGATGAGGTTCTGTAGTTCAACTATCATTTAGGAAAATAGCAGAAACTGCTGGCTAATGCAAAATAGTGGTCCACTTACATTTTTGGTTGTGCTATGGCCACTCATTTGAAAGTATAGGATTTGCTAGGAGAATGTTTCGACTGAGAAAACCACATGCAATTTCTCCCTTCCTCTGACTAATGGCAAGAAATCAAAGCATGCATTTATTAGGAGATTATTGCATAGTGTTAGGTTGTTATGCAAATCCCCATTTCTTTCCAACAGAAGACATCCATTGTCACCAACCCCACTGGTTTCTGCATATGTGGATACAAATAGCAGGGTAATCAGCCACACCCTAAGAGATCATGAAAATCATGGAAATATGCATCTGTTGACATACCCTCCTGAAGTGCCTCCTCTCTAGTTTGACAAGACACATCTCTGCTCCAAACATCATTTTTTTAGAAGCTTTTCATCCAGTCAGCATTTGGAACCACATGACTAGAAAACTAGAAGATAACTACAAAAAGCGGGATTATTATCACAGTCTTATGTTTGGGGGCAAATTTGCTGCAGCATAGACTCAGAATGGGCATTTTTGTCCACACTGCATTCTCTATGTAAGAGCTGACCCCTGGTATAATAAAAAAAATCATAAAGTCTAGGGCATGAAGTCATGCAGATGATTTCCATCAATGTCCACAGCAAGAACAAAATGGCGTCCTTTTTCCAGCTGCCAAGGACATCAAAAACCACATCCGTATCTTGTAATCCTAACAGACATCTAAGACTGTTTCTGATCTTGGTTTGGTTCAAGATATAAGTGGATTCAATCTTGAATCTTCTTAATCTATCAGTACCTTCCACCTTCAGAACTGACCTGAAGAGGTAAGGGCAGCGATTAAAAACAGCAACATAGGCAGCACACGAATACCTCGCTTCAATCCATTGCTTTTCTATACAATCCTGTTTGAACATGGGGATGGAGAGATTCTCCTTGCTTTTCCTTTATCACGTCATGCTGCTCTCTTGATACTTTCAGCCTTTCTAGGGCTGTCCTTTAGTGACTTTTGCAGGCATATCAGCAGCGATTGCTGAATGGCCACCCCCAACCCAGGAAGTAAAATCTTGAAACCTGAGAACAAAACAGGGATACGCAACCTTTGGAGTCCACTAGACACATTGGGAATTTTGAGTTATGTCATGAACAATATCACAAAATGGCTGCCATAGTCACAAAACTATCAATTTTTTAAAAAGAGAAATGTGAAATTGATCCCCGCTACTCCCTTTGGTCTCACCTTCCAATCCCAAGTACTCTATTCCACACCCAGCTTTACTTTTCCTTTGAGATTTTTGGGTGGTCGAGGAGGTCCTTTTCTAAACAAAGCCCTGGGTTGCTACCACCTACAACTTTTGTTTTCTAAGTAAGTTTGAATATCGTAGGTAACTTAGAGGCACTCATGGTAATGATGGTGGAGGCTGATCTCTTGCTTTGCTACAGGCCAACTTCTTGGTTCAATTTTTCACTTGAAAAAGAAATAGTACTCAGGAAACCCAGTAGCACTGAGGGAAGCATTCACAAGTACAGTTAGTCCTCAAGTTACAACAATTTCATTTAGTGACTGTTCAAAGTAACAATGTCATTGAAAAAAGTGGCTTATAACCATTTTTCACATTTACAACCATTGCAGCATCCCCATGGTCATGTGATCAAAATTCAGATGCTTGACAACTGACTCTTATGACGGTTGCAGTGTCTTGGGGTCAGGTGATCACCTTTTGGGACCTTCTGACAAAGTCAATGGGCAAGTCCGATTCACTTAACAATCATGTTAGTAACTTAACAGCTGCAGTGATTCACTTAACAACTGTGGCAAAAAAAGTCATAAAATGAAGCAAAACTCACTTAACAAGTGTCTCACATATTAACAGAAATTTTGGGCTCAGTTGAGGTCATAAATCAAGGACTACCTGTGATTTTGTTCACTCAGGACTAGAAACTTCACCAGCCGACTTGTGACTAGATCACGAATGGATTTAAATGGAGATAATAACAAATTCACTAACTATCCTCTACCTGACACTCTTCAGATATATTGGGGTCCAAATCCGAGTCATCCCAATCTAGTGAGAGATGCTGGCTAAGGTTAATGAGAATTAATGCTCCAATACTTTGGGAGGGGCTAAGCTATGCAAATGCCAGGCACAAATTGAGTAGATTTGTGTTAGAATTTCCAGGAAAGTAGTGTACAAATTATAATGCAGGACAAATGCAAAGATGAAATTTGGGGCTGGAGGCAAGATTAATTTCTAATATGTTTGTCTTTTCCTGTGTGATACTGTATACTGGCTACAACATATAATGAAATATATGATCATGATTCCTAATCAGTTTTCCTCAATAACTATTGGAAACTGTTCAAAATAGGCCTAAACAGAACTATTTTCCATATAAGGATTTTGTAATGTGTTCGGCAACTTTTTCCGATGGCGCTAGGAGCATAAAAATCAGGTCTTCCAAGGGGAAAATTGAAATCCCACAAGTTGAAAGCAGAGGTTACAAGGATCAAGTACATTTTCTTCATTGCCTGTGCACAGGTGCAAGCTCTGAGTGCATGTTTGTGTGTGTTTAGGAAGGCAACTTAATTAATGGCCATTTCCCTAATGATCTATCTAGAAATGCACACTGATGTATGAGTTTAATTAGCTCAAGCCAAATGCTGGGAGTGCGACAGAAGAACACGTTGTCTTTGTCACCAGGCGCCTGTTACCATCCTATGTTTATGGGAACTTATTTAATGAAGAGTTAATCTGTGCTTAAACTGGGGGATAGTACCAGCTACTGGCCTTGTATGATGGATTGTTTTGCTATGGAAGAACACAAGAAAGATGCATTTGCTCTTGTACTGCCTACCTAGTCTTTGACCTATAGACACCTACGAATGGCTTCTTCATTGTTTCTAAAGCCAATAGGTGGAGTTTTTCCTAATGAGAGAACCAAACCTGATAGCTCCCAGTATTATTACATCATAACTATTCATTCTAATCATTACTAACTGCAGTTATATGCACCATTCCTTATATATCAGGAAAGACCAAGTTTACTCTTTTCAGTTTTGTTTTGAGTAGGTTTTCTATATTTCAGGCCACATCATGAATTCTGCAGCCCTAAATTCGATTGCAATTATAATGAAATAGATAAATTTCATCCATTGCCTCTTCAGAGAATAATTTTGAGCATATGGTGATTTCAATGAAGTCATGGGAAGTCGTGGAAGCTTGCTGATCTTCGAGCAGGAGGAGAAAAAGCATAGGACATGCCTAGTTGTAGTACCATCTGCCTATCAGTATAGGTAGACTGGATACTTACAATTATTCCAGACCACCTCTGGGTTTGGATCCAGCAGGAAGATTTGCAAGAGCTTACCTTGAGATCTGTTTTCTAGAAGCGTTGATACCACAGGGTACTGCTAAGAGGGGTTAGGACAGTCCAAAAAGGCCAATAATAGAGCTAATGAGTTATTATCTGTAGAAATGTTCACAAGACAGATTACCTCTTCCATAATGCATTTTGACAGCCTTCTTATTCTCACAATCGGGGTGGATAAAACAAGATGAAACGACGGGCTTCTCCCCCTTCACACTTTCATTCCAAGGGACTTTAAAGGGACTATTGATTGTAACCTACGATACTGATTATAAAAATACTCCAAACTGACAGCCCTGGCTGGGGGAGTAAAGATACTTATTAACATAAAATATGAGAGTTTTCCTATGCAGATACTGACAGAATGAAGAAGTGCCCCCCCTTTTTTGCTAAGCTTTAACTACTCTTGTTGTCTTTATAAATGAGGGTAGAGATATCCATCTGTTTTAAGGATTAACAAAGCTCATTGCAACATTGCCTTCTCATGAAGTAAAGAAAGCTATCGTATCTTAGAGTCCATCTTGAACTGAAAGGTGACTTCTGGCACAAGATGCTTTATTTGCTGCCATCTTCTTTTTTGCATGGATTACTCCATAGGAGAAATCAACAGAGATTCTGTGGAAGTGCTTTAATGTTGAGAAGATCCTGCCTCAAGAAGCAGACTAGATAGCCCTCAGGATCTGATCTTCATCAGAATTACTGGAAAATTATGAAGCAGAGTGTTATCAGCTTAAAACAGAAATGGGATGTTATTAAAATGCTTGCTCACATCACTGCATTTTGGGTGTAAATATATATTATGTTGCCTGATATTCTTCTATAGATTCTTTCCTTCCCGTCTTCTAGCTCGGGCTAGCCACAGAATTGATGGAATCAAAGGAGAGAGATGGGACATTCTTCTTGAAGGAATGAATTAAGGTCCTTTCTCTTCCTTTTAATTCTGATGAATGGATGTGAGATCTAATAGTCTAACCTAGTATATTTTTGTTTCTCTTCAGCAGAGGTGTGGAATTCTGAAGCTAATATGTTTTCACATTCCAGTGTGAATTCTGAGACAGTTGAATTCACTTTCAATCCTGAAACTAGATGTTTGGTACGAATTATACTGTCAGCACATCCTGTTCTTCACAACAGCTGAAATTTTCCATAGTTTTATTATTCCAATACTTCCCCCCTAGAGCTCAGAAGATTAAGAAACAGATGTTTCCTGCCCACAATGGAATAAAAAACAACATCTCTCTATTGGTACTTGAGCATTAGGCAACTGCTGACCAATTCAGAACTAAACCAAAATCTCCAAAACTGCTTGCCCAATTCTACAAGGAGTGGTGGCAAGCCTACTCCTAAGAATTTAACAGGATGGTTATATCAGATCCCTGCCAGTGCTTATCTGCATGGGTAAGTAGCAGTGAATTGGGCAAAACAAGCTAGATTTTGAGCCTTGGTGGCACAGTGGTTAGAATGCAGTATTGCAAGCAAACTCTGTCCATAGCCTGGAGTTTGAACCTGACTGGCTCAGGTTTGATTCAGCCTTCCATCCTTCTGAGGTTGGCAACATGAGGACCCAGATTGTTGGGGGCAATATGCTGACATTTGTAAACTGACCAGAGAGTGCTATAAAGGAGTTTGGAGTGGTATGTAAGTCTAAGTGCTATTCCTATTGTTATTTTCCATAATGTAATAATCTGTTACAGGATTTTACATTAAAAAAAAATCTCAGCTACTAAGTGAATTGGTGATGTAGCCACATGCCTCTCTTTATAGGTGCCAAGGTTGCTGCTACTGCTGTTGTGGAGCTTGGTTCTGCCTTGGCCTGGTGAAGGATCCCAGCGTAGTAAACCCATGTTCACAGCAGTTACAGATCAAGTCCTTCCCCCTGACTATGACAGCAACCCAACTCAGCTCAACTATGGTGTGGCTGTGACTGATGTAGACCAGGATGGAGACTTCGAGGTTATCGTGGCTGGGTAGGTACCAAGGAAAATGCTAAGTATTCCTAGATGCATCGGAAGTTGGGGGGAGGGGCTGCTACCCCACAATGAGCTGTATTTGAGGAGAAAGAATAGTCTAGAATTAACAGGATGCAAGGTAGATGGTTACATCCCAAAGGCTGGTTTCATACAAAGTGTCAAAAAAGGATAATGTATTATTGTTGTTGTTGTTGTTGTTATTTTGCCTATCTCACAATCCCAAGCAATTCTGGGTGGTTTTGGCTAAGTGCCATACAGTATGTGAATTCATCCAAAGTTAGAAAGTTCATCCAATATAGATTTGTATGAAAGTTCATCCAAATATAGATTCGTTTGTAAGCCATGCCCAAACTATTATTTATTTTCATCATGGTATATTGAACAACTTATAATTGTCTAATTTACATATAAGAAAAGCCCTAAATCACTTTATAATGACAATAGCTGGATGCATATATTGTATTAATTCAAAACTAAACAAATTATATTAAAATTTACTACAGTTTGTGAATTCAGACCCTGTTTCTCAGAAGAACTTGGACACTGTTATGTTTGTGGGGTTTTACAAATGTTCTGGACTAAAACTGCTAACACTCCCAGTTAGTGAGATCTGCTTTTCTGGTTGAGGCCTATGAGAAATGTCATTGAAAACCTCTGAAAGGCATTAAATTGGGTAAGGCTGTAAAAGGAAGGAAAAGTATAGATATTCATATTCTACTTTGTTCTTAGAACATGTAAAAGTTTATATGGAGCTGCTGAAATAAACCAAAAATAACATCTGTGCAATGATTCAATTTCAGATGTGTATGTGGATTCTCAGTGGAACTACTGTACAATTGCATCCTCAACGCTTACAGCCTAATTGTCTCCCATATCACTTCCCTGATTAACTGCCTCTGCCAGTAGCCTTCTCAACTCCCACCACAGTTTCCCCAACCTGTCCAGGCTGGAATCATGACCTAGGAAGTAGGGGCCAGAGGGGACTGTCTCTTTATACCCGGCCACTGCTTGTATAACTTGTACTGTCATAAAACATGTCTCAGTTGCGCTGACCTGGAAATAACATATATCCATTGAAAAGCTCTTCTGTCTAGGATTTCCTAGAAAACAGGGAAATTGTTTATATAACCAAATTTGTTTCACCGAGCCCTCTCAATCTCTTCTTGGCCTTGATTTTTCCTAGCTCTTGTTGTTTTCCATCTACCATCCCTATAGCAGGAAGACAAGATGGCAAGTCTGTTTTAAACACATGGAGTATTAGGGCCATCATTTTAGAGCCCCATATTTTTCTGTTTCATCCCCACTGGGCTGCTGGGGACCTCAGTTGCCTGAAGTTGCATTCTATCTCAGTGGTCTCCCAGGATCTTTCACTAACAGATTCCAATTTCTATGGCTAGCAGTTTTTCATTTGGATTCATTTATACGTCACGTCTTCAAAGATTGCTCATAGCAGTAAAACATTAAACTACTTCGCAAACTGTAGTCCACATGCTGCTACACGAGCTCTTTGGAAGAGCAGTCTTCAGCCTTACTGAATGATCACAGAGAAAGAGCCACCCAGATTGGGTCAGCAAGCTGTTCCAGGCCAGGAGACAGCATGCAAAAAAGGCCTGCCCTCAAACATCCATTTCCTTCATGTCTTGGGGGGACATGCAGCATATCATGCCAGCCAGCATGTCCCCCCCACTGGATAGACATCTGGTACCTGGAGTAGAGGGTCCCAATATTTTTTTGAAAAGACTTGAGCTATAACGAATCAAGACTGGGCTTGGCAGCTAACTGGGAACCAATATAGCCTTGTAGGATAACTGTTATTCTGCTGTACTGTACTCTATTGTTTTTAAGGGTCACCTATTTGGAGCATATTTCAACCTAGATGACTAGGTCATCAATTACTATACAGGTAGTTTTCGATTTACAACAGTTCATTTAGTGACCATTCAAAGTTACAATGGGATTTGTGACATGATGGTTTTTCACACTTATGACCACTGCAGCATCCCCATGGTCACATGATCAAAATTCAGATGCTTGGCAGCTGATTCATATTTATAAAGGTTGCAGTGTCCCAAGGTCATGTGATTATCTTTTGCGACCTTCTGACAAGCAAAGTCAATGGGAAAATCAGTTTTATTCAACAACTGTGTTACTAACTTAAAACTGCAGTGGTTCACTTAGCAACTGTGGCAAGAAAGATCATAAAATGGGGCAAAATTAACAAATGTTTCCCTTAGCAACAGAAATTTTGGGCTTGAGATCGTAAGTCGAGGATTACCTGTAGTTGGAACCTAGTTCTAGCCTCTAGGCACCAGGTCGAAGCTGTTACTATATATCCTGAAGTGGGGCCATACAGTCATAGTTGTACTGGTAATACCCCACCCTAAATTAAAGAATGACCTCTCTCCTTTCACACAGATTGGGGAACTTTTTCCTCTCAATTCTTCATGCTGACCTTCCCAACCTGGTGCCTCCAGTTGTGTTGTAATGACAACTTCTAGAATTTTCCTGTCTGGAAATTCTGGGATTTGTAATCCCAATGCAACTGGAAAACTTGGCTGGGGAATTCTGTTTTGTACAGTTTATTGGAACCCAGATTATCTTACTAAGCCTAGAAAACTGTGGACAGACAGGTGTTTCTCATAGGTGAGGAAAAGTTTATGGCAAGTCCAGACATGTGGAAGAGTGCCCTGGTTTGACCTGAAGAAAAACAAACTTTCTCTCACTCTGAGAAAAGGCAACCTTTTCTCTTGCTCTTCTGACAGCCTCAGTGTGCACCCTGACATTGTGTTAATTGGCTGCAGCAGAGTGAGAGAGTGCTTCATCGCATTATTGACAGTGTGTTTGGCTTGAGTTGGTGCACAGGAGTGAGCAGGCATTCAGCTGTGTGCTCCTTGTATCCCTAATCTGACAGTCCCTTGAAGAGGAAGGATAGAAGGAAATGGAAACCAGCCTGGCCAGCTGCTCAAAGAGAAACAGCATGTTTTGCCTTTAGGGTGATCATGCTAGACATGCATTGACAAATGTGCATATGGAGAAGTGGAAGTTTCCCATGAATGAACAATCAGGAATGTGTGCATACTTGCCAGGGCTACTTTAATGTATCATTAAGAAGAGGCAAGTTATCACACAGGAAGCAATACCTTATTTATTTATCACATTTTTTAAACCACACATCTCCCTTACAAAGGGACTCTATGTTAGAATGGTGTGAGTCCAGTTGCTCTTAAAAGATCCTCATAATCTCTATCTAGGAATTCTCACCCCTAACTCTACCTAGTAGCTAGGAATTATAGGGGCTCCAAATCTGGAGAAATCGATTTTAATTCTCAAATATTACTAAAAGAAATTAATGGTCCCTTCTGAATGATTGTAAATGATACATTAACACAAGGAGACTAAAAACTGAGCTGCACATCCCGTATTTAATAATACTGCAATTACTTAAAATGATGATGATGGATAATCATTGTAAATGATAATAAATTCTAAGTGTGGGAATCAGCACTTCTCCCAATTTGTAGACTTCTTTACAGGATACCTACCCTGCAGCTTTCCTTAAATTAGTCCCCTCTAGCTATTTCAAATAACAAATCCATAAGACCCATTCCACATATGGTTGGAAAATATGGGAAAGATAGTTCAAAACATCTTGAGAGTGCCCAAATGGGAAAGGTTGTAACTTTCCCCCAAACGGTGGTGACTAAGTACATTGTGCTACACAATCCTATAATTGCTAGCCAGAATGCCAGTTCAACCAAATTCACTCGGAATGATGGAAGTGATCATGCACTTGATGTGGGGGAGAGGCTTTTTACAATAAGATATTTCTCTGGGTAAGAATTACATTCAACCTGTTCCTGATTAATCCTTGATTTCTTCAATTTCTTAGAAGGGAACTTTACCCGACAAACTTACTCATTAATCTATGTGTTCACCTGAATCCATCCATCCTTTTTATTCCCGTCGTTCCTCTGACCTTCCTTCATGGATGTGCATTCCAGATGCGACATCTCCATCACTCTGTCCTAAACTGTCACCAAGTTGTTAGTATTTTTGCTAAAGTAGAAACAGTATGCTAGTTTTTTAGTTATGGCCTTAGCAGAGGGAAGCAGAGCAATTGGAGCTTCCTTCTGAGATATGATTTATTTGTAGTCTGAAAAGGATTTCTGCTTTTGCTATACTTCCTCACATTTAGCCTGAGATGCACTGTAATTGCCCTCCCCAACACACACACATATACATCTTTAAGGTACAATAGTGACTTCTTTGGTATATAGGCTTAAAGCCTCTTGACAGAATTGGAACAAAATATAATAAAAACAAAAGAGAATGTAATCATAACATATTTAAAAGGTAATACATTAAAAAACAATAACAGCAATAAACAAGTTACCTAAATTCCTGAGAGGGCCAAAAAAATGTAATTTTGTAGTGAAAGGATATAACAATATCACACTTGTGGAAGGAGCACTTGATCATGGCGGAGGAGATATTAGTGCTAAGTAATACCTTGGCAGGCTGGCACACAGGAGGCCCACAAGTTGTAGCAGCATATTACCATGCCAGGCACTTAAAACCCATACTTTGGACTTCCTAGTTTAAGATTGAGAAATATATTAGAGCTGCTGCCACCAGAAGATGGTCTATGCAAAGTTTATAAGTATCACTTGCAGATCTAATATACCCAGCATTTCTAATTTCCTTTTGATATTGCTCTTAATAAAGGATAACAAAGTATTTCATTCAGCCATGGGCTGCAGCTGCCCAGATTTAGACCGCTTTGCATTGCAGAATGCAACCTTTTGTGCGAAGATTTCCACCCTAGGATTGCCAGGGCTATGCTTCCTAATATAGCGTATTTCAAATCTTGCAGCGATTAAATAAACTAAAGAATATCTTTTTGAAAGAGATGCTGGAATAACCCAAAACAATGTTAAGCCAAATGTGTGGCTTGTATTATATGTAAGTTTCTTTCCCACTGATTTTTATAGAAGAAGAATATGGGAGATCTTGGAGTTATTCAAGTAGCTGAAAGATTCCAAGAGGCAGATTATTATCTATATATAATAATTTCAGCCATAACATAAACCAAATTCAGTGTTTTCTGAATCTATTTTTATTAAAGGGTGAAGAATCAGAATATATATATATTGCACCAAATGTGAACAAGACACACATCTTAAAATAGAGGATTACCATATTTTCTGAAGGCAGTTTTTCCTACTTAAGATTACAAAGTTCTCATTTCAAAATGCACCTACAACAATAGCCAAAGTGTGTTATTAAGGGCATTTCATAGACCCACTGACACATAAAATTCAGCCTCTGATGCAGCCTTGGCCCTTTGCATTAAATGGTTTCTTGAAAGGCTCCCCTCTTGATCTCCTTTGAGGATAGATATTTTCTCTTGGGTTTTCAAATATTGCCCTCAAGATTTTACCAAATTCTATGTTTATTACTAGCTCTCAGGACTCCCTTCCCCTTCTCTGTTGTATTTTCTCTCTGTGCTGTACATTTTCAGCCTTAGCAAACTCTATGCTAACCACATTAGAATCACACATCATTAGCTGCCAGATGAAATCACTCAGGCGTTTCTGCAACTTTGCATTGTGTGATGTTAACATGGATGGATGTCTCAAAGAATTCAGAACTCTCCCTTAATCAAACAAACAGAATTCTACACAACTAGAGGAAGAGTATACTTTGGCCAAATTCATTAACAAGACATATAAGTACTCTATAAAAGCAGTATTCTGATCTGATACTACAGTACTTTAGGTTTTTGTCAGTTCTGTTTCAGAGATCTTCCCAGTGTCTCTTCCTGACAAGGGCTTTAGGTCAAGCCCATGTTATATGCCTTTTAACAATACGACCCCAGATAAATCCTGATTCCTGAATAGGAGGAGAAACTTCTATTTGCATCTTGCATACATCAGCTGTCTGAAATAAGATAAGAAATTTATTCTGGCCCTTTACCATTTGGTCTCCATTTTCCTGAGATGCCCCAGTGGTGCCTGACTTAATCCCCAAATCCTTCAGCATGTCAGAAAAGATTTAGAAAAAGAACTCTGTCTCTATAAATATAGGAAACACAAAATCCAGCCCTTCTTTTTTAACCTATTTTTCCCAATGAATCTCACTGATCTGAAGAAGGAAGAAGGGAACAGTATAAAGCTATGTGGTAAAACAAAATGATTTAAACATGCTTAACCATAAGGGGCATAACATTTTTATGTGCATTTGTCTTGTATTGGATGAAAAAATAGACTTTCCTGATATTTTTAAAAAATATAATCCTAAATTCCATAAGCATCACTCCTTGTCCTGAACTTTGTACCTTGCCCTGTGAAGGGTTTTAATCAACTTTGGTGAATTATGTGTCTTGAAATCTTACCAGATTAATGTATTAAATCTGTACTTCAAAGCATTTTCATAAATGTGTGATGTATTCAGCAGACTTGAGGAAAACAATGGCTCTATTCCTTTTTCTCTGTTGACTTTTTTTCACAAAATTGGACAGTTTTTTGGAAAGGGAGCTGTGGCAGTTGCTGAGAGCCTTGTGACTCATTAAAATCTAACAAATCCATTATGGCAGAAAAGAAGCAGGGAGGTGATTAATCCAGTGTGCTAGAACTCAGGCTGAGTTACTGGCTTCTTAATAAGGCGGAGCGGTGGAAATGATGAGAAAATATGGAAAGCATACTGGTTCCCACCACTGTTCTCTTCATTAAAGTCCATTCCTTTCTCTTCTCCAAGAATAGAAGATACTGGGAATGCTTGGTTGCCTAATTGAGGAACTACATTAGCAGCAATAGAAGACTTCACTTTGATAGGAAAAAAAAGAAAAGAAAAACTATTGAGGAGGGCTAATATCTGAAAACACTCTTGCTCACACTTGCTTCATTTCTTACTCTCTGTTCCTTCAGGTACAATGGACCCAATCTGGTGCTGAAGTACGACAAGGCCCGGGGACGGCTGTTAAATCTTGCAGTGGATGAACACAGCTCCCCCTACTATGCATTGAGGGATCGTCAGGGCAATGCAATTGGTGTGGCAGCCTGTGACATTGATGGAGATGGATGGGAGGAAATTTACTTCCTAAACACCAATAATGCCTTTTCTGGTGTGTGTCAAAGTCATCCATCCCTGACATTTAACTTACCACTGACAATCAAATTAAGGCATCAAACCTCTTGAATGTTCTATGCATTTCCCTTCATCTTCTGATATTCATCCAACTATGATATTTATACCCTCAAATCCTGCTAATCAGAATCAACATATCCTACATATTCAACAGTCTTCCAGGGCTGATTACATATCACGTCTTCCTCATATAATATCTTCACTCATTCATGCTTTGACACTTCCATCTCATGGCTCCATTAAACCTATGGCTTCAACTTGCTAATTCACGTTATCTCACTGGTGCCAAAATAGAATTTTGTCATTGTCAGTACAACATACGGTATGTGGGAAATATACATTGTTATTACAACATACTATATGTCTGGAAATCATTGTAGCAGCTTGACCAGTGCTGCCTTGTTCCAGGATCTATTTAAATTGCCCAAAAGAGGTGACAGAAACATGAAAGTGATTCTCAGAGGGGACTGGATGAAGACCAGGAGTCTGTTAAGCCATCTTGTTTGTAGCATTCTATGGGCTTCTATGCTTGTTTGTAGCATTCTATGGGCTTCCCTCTGCATAGTTTACTCTGGGACTTCACCTGCTAGCCTTGTACCACTGCCGTTCATTTCCTGACCTTCATTGGCCACCAGGGTGGGATGTTTCAAGCCTGGAGTTAATTTCCCAGCTGAGTGATTTTGTCGATTCTCTGGCAGCAGTGGGGCTGGCAGACAATGAGGGGGGGCGGCGGTGTAGAGAGACTTGGCTGCTGACTCAGGGTTTTGCCAGAACTCTAGTTGCCAGCATTGACTGCAGCTCTGAGGGCTTAGAATTGCAGGGAATGAAGGAGTGCCTCTGGGACAATGATCCTTGAGGTGAATAGGACAGAGGAAAGATGGTGAACCTCTGAAGCATCTAGGCCTCTGTGGCTCCACTGCCATTATTGTTTTCCTTTGGGAGGATGAGTATCTAGCTGCTAGGCTGGCACTAGACTCCTTTATGATATGCTCTTGCCAAAGTCACATATGTTGCACTAGTCCACGTCCATACTCTGCCAGCCTAATCTTATGGCCTAGCCCTTGCTTAATAAAAATTGCAATTAGACTAACAGGCCCCTTTTCTTCTCTGGGCTTCAGATGGGGTTATGGGAAGTTCCAGGAAATGCTGCTTGACCATTGGCTTTTTTCTGTTAAAATTCCATGCTGGATTTTGACTGCTTCTAGATTCTTTCTGAATAGCTTGTGGCAGCCCTGGGACAATTATTGCTTTCCTCCCACTTGCTCAAAGCCCTTCTTTAGATCTCTGTGGCCCTTTCCCTAGGAAACAAAAAACACTGCCAAACCCCTGTTCCTTCCAGAGTTGGGCTGGGCCCTTTACCTGCTTCATCGATCTACTCTTGGTTCTGCTTATCTGTCTTCTTGACACACCTAATTACAGCTTTGCAGCTCCCAAAGACTCCCACTCTTTAAACCAGCCAATCACATTACTCCCGGCATCAGGGTCTGGCCATCGATTTTTTCTTTTCCCCTTTCCCTTTATGATGTACATGGCTCTGTGCTGCTTTCGCACATTTTTCCTTAATGAATGTATTCTTCTGGACCTCCCTTACCAACACTTAAGCTTTGTTGGAGTTGCTGCATTCACGGCAGTGCAGTCCCAGTCGCAGCCCTGCATACTAGCTAGCAGTTAGAGACTCATGAGTGTGGGTATTGGAGTGGAGAAGCTGTAAAGACTGACGATCAGGAACTAGGTGCTCAAACCGGACAAGAAAAAGAAGGATTTGGTTTGTAGAGGCAAGGTGGGGTAGGGAGTGTTTGATGGTTACATGCACAGTCTGCACGTACATACAAATTTCACATCTGCACAGTGCAATTGTGTTGTTTCAGGATGGGCTTATGCCAAATTTTTCCACCTCTGATTACTGGAATCTAGAGAAAACATAGCTCAGAATGTACTGAGATAGAGTACAGCCTGAGGGCATAAGATGCTTGATGTCTTCTCTCTCTTTCCCAGGTGTAGCCACCTATACAGATAAACTATTCAAGTTCCGAAGTGGGCGCTGGGAGGACATCTTGAGTGATGAGGTGAATCGGGGTGTGGCAAGCCGGTTTGCTGGACGTTCCGTGGCATGCGTAGACAGGCAGGTGAGTGCATGAGGTGGGTTCGCTGAGGCTATCATTTCACAAGCACTGGTCTCTGGCATATATGTGGAAGAAAGAAATTGGAACCAAAGAAGCATAATCTAAGCTGTGTAAAGAGAAAATGTTTTTGGAGAGGCCTTGTTCTCCACCCAGCCTCCCCTGTGACCAGGCTTTGCTCCCTCCCCCACAGCTGTCAGGACTCCCATCAGGGGCTGCAGTGCCAGGCGAGTGCCGTGCTGCTGATAAACACCAGCCTGTCTGGGTGATTTATGCCCCTGTCACCTGCATTTTCTTCTCTCTCTACCTTGCGTGGTTTGTTTTCCAATGATTATTGTTAAATCAGGGTGCCATGGGAGAACAAAGGGGGGCAGATGGTGGTTGACAAAGAAGCCTGGGGCAAACATGGGCATGTGAAGACCTGGCATGTTCCTTTTGGAAGCCCCCTAGCAAGGATAAGAAAACAACCATGTCTGAGTAGACTCCTTTTGCTTGTATATTTAAGGGTATGGCATGGTGTTTTCTTTACCAGACTTATCCTTATCACAGCTGTGGAACTGCAACCCACTGGAGGTACACAATATGCCAGACCACAGCTTGAATATTTTGTGGCTCATTATATTTTGGAAATTCGACCATTTCGTTATATGAATCAGATTATTGTGTTACACCATCACAGTTTACATTTGGGCATAATATAGGAACATCTGGTTTGGTGGGTTCACATGTTGTGTGAATCTAGCTATTCTATCCACATGTGGGGAATTGATGGGAATGCTTCATTGGAGCTCCAGTTCTCAGTGCTTCTATTCCCTTCCTTCCCACAGGGGTCTGGCCGCTATTCCATTTACATAGCTAACTATGCCAATGGAAGAGTTGGTCCTCATGCCCTCATTGAGATGGACACAGCTGCCAGTGACCTAGAGCATGGCATTGTGGCACTGAGTGATGTGGCTGCAGAAGCTGGAGTCAATAAATTCACAGGTATGAGGGAAGCAGAGGGTTACTATTTTGCTGAAGAAGACCTGAGGATATAAACGGGGAAGACCTTTGATCAGAGTGAACTGCAGGTTTGAAGGAACTCTTGTCCTCTGTGGGCTTTTCCTTTGTTGTGTTGCCCTAGGTTTCAGAATAAATGTATCTTTCAGTGCCATAGAACATAATTTATGGGGTTTTTTTCCATGTTAGCATTTCCTCTGAACAGTAGCCTATTTTTGCTTTTCCTGAAATTCTCCATTCCATAATGCATTGTGTGTGTGGGTGGGTGGGGGGAAATAAAATGGCTTCCAGCAGGAAACAAATGGGAGTTCTCCATGATGGATACCATTTTGCTTCAGAATCTTCCATTGGTCCTTTCTTAAAATCCTACAATACTCAGGCCTAACAGCATATCTGGGGCTTTAGGGCAACACTATTGTAGCCACCAATTGAGTTGTGGCTGCCAGAAACAGACCTCTGAGATGGAGGGGAAACTTGCCTATCCTGGGCCAGTCTCTGACTCTAGTCCCTTTCATCTTGGCTCAGCATTCAGTCTCAAAGGTCCTGAATTCTTACCAAATATTTTTGTGGGTATTAGGGAACTTCAGGGTAAAATAGGGATCCTCACAATGGATTTCAGTGTTTATCAATTTGTAGGATTCACTGTAGACAGAGGTGGGAAATAGGAGAATGAATCCATTGTTGGGGTTTTGGTCTTATATTCAGGCTAGGATTTATTTCCAGTGCAGTTTCTGCTTCACAGAGAACAGGTGATTGGGAGTGCTCTGGAGCTTTCACTCCTCTTGTTCCCAGGGGGTCGGGGCATAGCGGTGGGTCCCATTCTCAGTGAAGCTGCCTCTGACATATTTTGTGATAATGAGAACGGAGCCAACTTCCTCTTTCAGAACCAGGGCGATGGTACCTTCATAGATGTAGCACCCAGCACTGGTGAGTATGTAGCCTGGGCGAGGGTGTTGGGGGTGGCATGTCTTATAAGATTAAAATGATTTACCTAGTTGCTGAACACTTGAAATCCTACTAGAGTTGAGATTTTTTTCCCCTATCCCAGCCTCCCTACTTCTGGAGAAGGAGCGGGTAATAAGTGCACCCAGGCTCAACCACCAGTTATTTAGCGTCTGGCTGATGATCACTGGAGTTTAACGAGATGTCAGGCTGGCATCCATCACCGCCGTGCTGCTGATGACACCTATTCTCTTTAGAAACATTCCTTCCATGTCATCAAGGGAATAGGAACACATTGGCGAGAAGGAGCTTGGGCGGGGGGAAGGTGAAATAGCAGCTTGCCAGCTCCTCACCTGCCTACTCAACTAGCCATGCTACACAACCTGTTGTTCTTTTTGTCCCTGGCCCTGCTGTCACTGACAGGTTCAGTAAGCAGCACTAGCTGCCAGAAAACCCTCTTCCGTCCTTTGCTACCATGGAGCCTAAATTCCCTGAGCTCCACAACAGCATAAGATTCAGTTTGGTATAATACATGGGAAATTTCATCTAGCTGACTTCCCTATCATCCTCCATAGGATTGGATGATCCCTACCAACATGGTCGTGGAGTGGCCCTAGCTGACTTCAATCGTGATGGCAAAGTTGACCTAATCTATGGTAACTGGAATGGACCACACCGGCTCTATCTGCAAGTTAATGCAGGTGGGCGTATCCGCTTCCGAGTAAGTTTCATCTGGAAAAGGGAAGTCCAAAACCAGCATATGCCTGGAATGTCCTGGGCTCTCAGCAGGGAAATGGGATGTGGGGACTCTGGTAATGAAGTAATGTAAGAAAGAATGGAGCACATAGATTAGATCCAGTAACCAAAGAGACTGATGTCTATACCCCAATTGGATGACCAGAAATTCCTTTTTTTTTAAGGATAATCTCCCAGCTCAAGAATGTTCCTTATTCCTGCAATGTAGATTTGGCAGCATTTTCCTCATCTTGGTTTCTACCCATCAGCAGAACCCTCCTTCATAAAACTATATAGACTTTTAATATTGCCTGCTGCAATAAGCTTCCTACTTTTCAGCCCAGTCTCCAGCCACCTAAATCTATTCCTAATCTTTACTTCCTCTTGGTCATGCTCAAGCCCAAGCCCTGCCCCACTAATCCCCGTCCTTCCCCCAGGACATTGCCACGCCCAAACTGTCTATGCCATCACCTGTCCGCACCGTCATCGCTGCTGATTTTGACAATGACCAGGAATTGGAGGTCTTCTTCAACAACATCGCATATCGTGGCTCGTCTGCCAACCGCCTCTTCCGGTGGGTGAGAGCCACATGGCCACCAGAGGCTAGGGTAGTGGGCTCCCTATCTTGCTTGGCCCTGGATACTGCAACAAAGGTTTCCCAGAAGAGTCTGGTGGAAATCATCCTGTCTTTAAAAAGTTCTGCATGCAAACTGAGAACATGAGATGAGACAGCTGGGAGGGGTAATTCTTGATCCATTGTACAGTGGCATTTACTCTCCTGTGTCATAATCCACAGGAGTGAGACGGTTCCAGCAGAATGGAAAGGCCCCATTCAGTTCCAGCCACTCTTCATACAGTTGACAATGTTGTGACTATCTCACTACTGATACAACAGTCTGTTCTGCCTAGACCAATCCCTGGAGATTCTGGCTTTCACTAATTAGCACTTATGCACAGTTCCCATTAATTGTAGGCAATCAATGGCTTGTTAAACAGAGTTGCTTACATTTCTCTGACTAATAAAGTGATAGCAGCAGCATATGGCAAGTCTAGGGAGTCCGTGCCAAATTTATCATTTTGCAAATGTGCAAGGTCTCTTCTAGAGAAAAGAACAGTGGCAAAAGCAGATACAGCCTACAGATCTAGGCTGTAGATACAGGGTGGTGATCACCAGAAATAGATCTTCAAAATTAAGGGCCTATTCTGGGAAGACAACATTCATTACTGCAGTCCTTTTCTGCTGCAGGGTTATCCGCCGAGAACATGCCGACCCAGCTATTGAAGAACTAAACCCTGGTGATGCGGTGGAACCAGAGGGGCGTGGCACAGGTGAATCATTGTGATATCTTTTGTGGAGCATGATTATCATGCATCACTTAGCAAGAATAAAACAGATATAAAAGAGGTTGCTGTAACCTATTGGCAATATTCTACCAGTGATGAATTGTGTACCAGTGACCCCTTTGTGTGCCAGGAAAATCTAGATATCTGGGTTCTTGGCAGTGGCACAGTTAGGAAATGTCAAATTCTGAGTGTAATGGTTTCAAATAACAGTGTATTTATATGATAAGTTTACATGAAATCTGTGTTTTGTAAACACTCAATGAACATATGCAAATGCTGCAGGTGTTTGAGGGAGAAAGGGAGAGACTGGCAAATCTTCACCTGGATTCTGCGATGCATCATAACAAGAGCATAATTATTTGTAGTAGGCTCAGAGACAAAACATCCATGTGGCCTGACCCCTTGGCCTATGGGTTGTTCCTGTGATTGGCTGCCTCTTAAAGCATATGAAGGAAGAGAAGAATGACCTTTGTCTATGACTCCTATTAACAGTCAGGAGACTTCATTCCTGAATATCAGTAGCAGAAAGGGCTCTTATTAACAGAGGATTTGGCACTAGGAGAAAATAATATCTGTGAAGTAGAGAGACATAGCAAATACACCCCTGCAGGGAAACTGAATGGAATCAAGCACAGAGAAGAAGAAACTATATTCTAATTTTCTCATGTTAGACATTATATTACTCAATATCGCTGTTAAGTAATGCGGTCCTTTCACAAAAGTGATGACCAAAGATACATTTCCTTACTGAGATTATATCATTTTAGGAGGTGTGGTGGTAGATTTTGATGGCGATGGGAAGCTGGATTTAATTCTTTCACACGGTGAATCCATGGCACAACCACTCTCAGTCTTCAAAGTCAATGAGGTAGGTTTAGAAAGGTACCTCTCTTAATGCGCTTAAGATCAAATCTATATGTGAACAAGCATGAAAGTCCTTCCTCAGTTCCATGACCACTTCATCCTTTGGCTGAGTCTGTCTGTCCATCTCCACAGGGTGCTGGCAACAACTGGCTGCGGGTGATTCCACGTACACGCTTTGGGGCATTTGCTCGTGGTGCTAAAGTGGTGCTGTTCACACGGCACAGTGGTGCCCATCTGCGCATCATTGATGGAGGGTCTGGGTACTTGTGTGAGATGGAGCCTGTTGCCCATTTCGGCTTGGGTGAGTGAGGAAGAGTAGAGGCAGGGTTTGTAATGCAGAGTGGTGTGTGGCCTCAGGTCTCTTTTGCCCTGGCCATCTGCCTACTAGTCCAACACAGGTAGTCCTTGACTTACAACTATTTGTTTAGTGACCATTCAAAATTGCAATGGCACTGAAAAAAATGATTTATGACCATTTTTCACACTTGCAACCTATGATCATGTGATCAAAATTCGGATACTTGGCAAATGGCATGTACTTATGATGGTTGCTGTGTCCCGGGATCATGTGATCACCTTTTGTGACTGTTTCACAAGCAGAGTCACTGGGAAAGCCAGGTTCACTTAACAACTGCAGAGATTCATTTAACCACTGTGGCAAGAAACATAGTAAAATGGGACTTAACAACTGTCTTGTTCAGCAACAGAAATTTTGGACTCAATTGTGGTCATAAGTTGAGGACTACCTGTAATATACAGTACTTATTTTTTCTTCCAAATCAAATTTGAGAGAGAGAAGCCTGGTACAACCTAACACCACCTCTGTATCTGATAGGGTCATATGAAGACAGATAGTGCCATGTGACCCTGAAATTGTTGCAAACATAGGTCAATTATTAACAAACTTCCGTTTGTATTTCCCCACTCTGTTCCACACTGCTTTTTTATTTTTGAATTAATTAGAGTTCTTGAAAACTCAAACGCTTGCATGTTATTTTCTAAATCCTAAGTTAACTCTAAAAAAGGCATTGCCTTAATGTGGACTTTGTTTTTTGTTTTCTTGTGACCGGTTTAGGTCCTTTAGTTTTTTTATGGTTCTTCCTTGTGTCTCAACCTTCCTAACACTCACCAAATATCACCAGAAACACTGCAAACCAGATAAAACCTTAGTTCTGTCCCTTCACTTACATCCTTATCTTTCTATTCCTCCAAAACGTTTTAGTTGAGGGCCTCACCCTTGCATTCCTTCAATTTTATTAAGGTCCAGCAAGCATCCTGAAGAATCTACATTACAATACATTTCATGCCTTCAGATGATTTCCCAAGTCTGCCAATTCAGCAGCAAGTTTTTTAAGAGCTCTAGCAAAATCCCTATTTATTGGGGATCCACAGATATTAAACCACTGCTGCAATAAAGTGGTTTATAATTTTAATCTTTTACTTTGAAAATATTTAGCAAGTTAATTTTATTATCTTATGTATTAATGATAGCTAATTTATCCTCAGGAGTGTAAAGGGTGTTACCATAATTTGCATTCCCAGAGAGCAGACTATTTATATTACAGTGAAGCCCTGGTTTGCTCCTTCAGCTGTTTCTGTAGAAAGCACTGCATTTCTCCACACCTCATTAGTCTTCTGCATCCTTGAGGTGGCTTGGTTTAGTGGGGCTTTGCCAGATTAGATTGCGCTGTAAGTGAAGCCAAGTGGCTCAGAAATTCAAGGAGCCTATATGCCCAAATATTACACATTCCTGCTGCTCTTGGCACAAAATAGTTGACAGAACAATACAACCCCATTGCATCTCAAGTTCTTTCATCTCTGTTGGGAACAGATATTAAAATTTGGGAGGAGGAAAACTAAGCATGAACCTGAAGGAAAGGTGGTTTTCAACAACCATTCCTCTGACCATGGTGGCTGCAGTTTTCTCCATTATTCAGCAATTCCCTGTGCTTTTTCTTTGTAGGACAGGATGAACCCAGCAGCCTGGAAGTGACTTGGCCAGATGGCAAGTTTATCATCAGAGCTGTAGTGAGCACTGAGATCAATTCTGTACTGGAGATTGTCTATCCTGAAGTCACATCAGGGTCACCCACCATTATAGTTCCTCTTGAGGTAAACTTCACAATTAAGCCAGTCTAGATGGAAGGAATAGACTTTGGCTTGGTCCTCACAAGACTGAGTGGCTGTGGCTGTCTGAACTCCCGGGTAGGGAACATTTTCTTGGAGGGGGCTGGATGGGGTTACACTTCCCCATTTCGAGACTGGGGTGCCACTTGGAGGTCTTCCTGAATTTGCAGCTACTGCTCAAAGAGCAGGTGGCAGCTGTGGCCAGGAGGCTTTTGCTTACGTTCATCTTGTGCATCAGGTGAGCCCTTTTCTTGTCCAGGAGGCCCTCAGATACTCAAGCTTTACTCATTTTGTGACTGGACTATTGCAATAGACTCTACATGGGATTGCCCTTGAAGACCTTCTGGGAGCTATAGTTGTATATGTGGAAAATGTAGAAATGCAAGCACTTCTTGTTACACTCATATGTCAGTGTTGCTACCAGTTGACTTCCAAGTGCAATTTAAGGTGTTGGTCATTACCTTCATGCCACGGGACTCTGGTTTACCTGCAGAATTGCCTCATCACCAATCATCTGCCTGGTATGTTCAGACAAAGTGGGTGCAGTCCAGATTCCTTCAATTAAATAGTGTCACATGGTGAACCAAGGAACCATGTCTTCTATGTTCCTGCCCTCTGACGTCTGGAGAAGGATCCCCTTAAAGATGTCACCTACTCTCTTAGGTTCAATATGTTAATGGAGACCCTATCATGATTTTTGTACTGTTACAGCTGTTTTGCCTGGGTTGTTATGTGTTTTGTTTTGATTGTTTTAAATTGTATATTGGATGTTGCCTATAATGGGATGATAGGGTTTACTAAAAAATGACTGCTAAAATTTGAAACAGAATTTGAAAGTGCCATCTCTGTAATGAAAAGATTGGGTATGAATCTGTAAAGACTTTACTTGGAACAGCTTATATCCTGCAACAATACCTTTAATATTATTGAACAACGACATCTGCCTATCCCAGGCATTTGGGAAGGACTTGATATGTAGACAAAAAGGCCAAATTGAGTTTACATATCTGGCAGACTGTGCAACCAACCATAATAATAAAAAACCAGAACCTTCCCATTTGCAAATACTGGATTGTGATTTCTCAACTACATTCACAATAAATAGTGAACAGATTCAAATTTGCAATGACTGATATTTGCCCAGTGCAGATTTTTTTTTCTTGCTGCACCTTCTTATCCAGAAAATCTACTGTGGTGGCCTGATTTCCATATGAAGTCTCTGCTGCTACATAGGAAGCACCGGCTGCTACTATTTATTGTACAAGAGGATCAGAAGTGATATTATAACAAAAATGCCCCTCAAGATTGGGAGCTGTATACAGGTAGTCCTCGACTTACGACCAGAGTTGAGCCCAAAATTCCCATTGTTAAGCAAAGCAGTTAAGTGAGTTTTGCCTCATTTTACAACCTTTTGCTACAGTTGTTAAGCGAATCATGCAGTCATTAAGTGAATCTAGTTTCCTGCATTCATTGTGCTTGTCAGAAGCCAGTACAACTGTCCAAATAAGTGAGTTTTGCCTCATTTTACAACCTTTTGCTACAGTTGTTAAGCGAATCATGCAGTCATTAAGTGAATCTAGTTTCCTGCATTCATTATGCTTGTCAGAAGCCAGTGCAACTATCCAAATACATGCCAGTTGCCAAGTGCCCGAATTTTGAGCATGTGATCATAGCAATGCTGCAATGGTGAAAAACGGTCATGAGTCATTTTTTCCAGTGCCATTGGAACTTTGAACAGTCACTAAACAAATGGCTGTAAGTCGAGGACTACTTGTATTAGATAGTGTATGGTCTGAGGCAGAAACTGAAACTATACAAATTCCAGAATAAATCCCTCAAAATAGATATGACAAAAATGAGATTAAGAATCAATGGCCTATTGATGACCTGTTTTCCTTTCTCCCTTATAGTGTGGCCAAGGATTCTCTCAGCACAAGAACGGGCGTTGTGTTGGTGAGTCACCTGCCAAGAGAAAATCAGCAGATGCTCCTGGGATGACATTTCTTGGTTCCCACAGCCGGGTTTCCCTGAAGTAGAATGACGTCTTTGGTATCCAAACCCAGCAGTGTGGCTGATTTCTGAGACAAGACGGCACTGAGACTATCTTTTATTGTTTCCCATGCTTTCTTTCTCTCCTCTCCTCTCTCTCACTTCCTTTCTTCTCAGACATGGATGAGTGTGCAGAATTTCCTTTTGTGTGTCCAAGAGGCAGACCCATCTGCATCAACACATATGGTGGGTACCGTTGCCGCAGCAACAAGCGCTGTAACCGGGGCTTTGAACCCAATGAGGACGGCACTGCTTGTGTTGGTGAGTGATGACACGGGCGGAAGAGAGAACCGTTTCGAGCTATTTCCCGAAGCCAGCTAGGAAATTCATACGAAACTGTCAGGCAGTGAAACTCTGAAATTCTTTGTTAGGATATGTAGCTGATGGGAAGGAATGTTTGGAGCGGGAAGCAAATTAGCTAACAAGCTCTTAAATTCACCTTAACTAATAACAAATTATTGTAGAGGGTAATACTTACGTTTGTTAAGCAGAGGAGAAGAATGATAGACAATTTTCTCAGGCTAAGAAAATTTGGTATCAAACATACTGAAAACTAGTCACTGCTGAGCAGCTTCTCACTAATTGTGGCTTGTCAGAGAGAAATGGCAGGTGGAGACAAGGGTGCTTGCTTTCCTTCTACCGGTTGCTTCCCAGATATTACCGGCATTCCATGGCTAGATGGTGGCTGGGATTTTTGGACTTCTCTGTGTAGCCCTGTATCCTTTCCCCTAAAGGCCATCTCCTTGCTAAGTGCCACTAACAAGTGTTCTATCCTGCTTCTTTTTCTCTTTTTCTCTGTGTGTAGCTCAAGTTGCCTTTTTCGGTGGATATCCTTCTTCAGGGAGCTGGCTCGGCTCAACCTTGCTATCAGCCCCTCTCCTTTCACTTTGCCTTGGACTCTGCTTTTACTCCTATGCACTTTAAGCCTTGCCAATAAAGGACAGAAGCAGCCTTTTATGGATGACTTAGCCTCCCCTCTCCTCCTTCCCTCCATATCCCCTCATCCAGTTTTCTCACGGTGGTCACTGGAAACGTGAACTGAGGTGGGAGCATCCATTATACAGCCCAGCTGATGACACTGGCACTACCAATATACCCTTTGCATGTTTTCTGAGAAAACAGAGAGGGCAGAGGCCCCACTAATGCTTGTCACCTCTGTAGGGTGGCCATTTTCTTAGGAGCTTGCCTGTAACCAAGAAGGTAGCTCTTGCTGGTAGTTGCTTGCTTGGTTAAATCAATAGAATTACTCTGTGCCTGCTGGTTTGGCCTACGACGCAATTGCTTCCTATCCTTCCTCATGCTCCTCCTTTTCCTCCTCTCCAGCCCAATACAAACCTAGATCTTGGTTTGTCTGCAATTTAAATAAACAATCTTCCAGCTGGAGAACTGCTCTCCTTTAACAGTCCCCCCACCAATAAACTCTACATTGTCAAAAGGCATCTACTTGCAACTGTGCTTCGGATGTGGGTGAAATTGGAGGCAATGGCTAATATTCAGAAGAAAATAGGCCGGAAAATGAGATTAGTATTAAGCTAGGTCCCTGTTTACTTTATGGCAGACTTATGAATGCCTAAGAGCAGTTGCATAAATAGATATAAGTTACTTGGTTTTACTTCACTTTAAAATATGTAGCAGCCACTCCAGCTGAATTCTGCCCTACAGGGCCCGGCACATCTGACTAGAAGTCCCTTCCTGGTAGCATCTCTGACTGAAGTTGCTTTTGCAGCAGCACCCTTCCCACTTGCTTTTCAACATTCCTACTACTATAGATGCCTTTTTTTTTACTTCCTTATCACATTCTTCCCAACCAAAGCCCCTTCCCAACGTATTAATGACAAATCCTAAGATTCTTAGCAAAGGTAAATCTGGCTTAGAAATCTGGAATTGAAGTCCATGCATTTGGAAGGTTCCCAGGTACAGACCATATGCAAGTGGATCAGGCCCAGTCCTGTGTCAGTATGTGGTTAAGGTGTTGGACTAGGACCAGAGAGACTTTGGTCCATCTACCTTCAAACATGAAAGTTCACTGGGTGACTTTAGTTCAGTCTCAGTTTCTCAGCCCAGTCTACTTCAGGAGGCTGGGAGTAGGGGATAGAATTGGAGGAGCGATGTGGTACATGCTGCCTTGAGCTCTTGGAAGAAAGGCACGATATAAATCTAATAAACAGATACAGGCAACTTATGGACCAAATGCAGCCTTTAATGCTTTTATTGTGGCCAATAGAGTTCTACTCACTTTTGTAGGCCACATATGAGAACAATCATTAGCTAAATGGCAAGAAGTGTGTGTGTGTGTGTGTGTGTGTGTTGGAATTGAAGTCTTGCCTCTGTGCAAACTTGTTCCAGATACTTTTTTTCCCCATCTGCCAATGGCAGTAGAGAAACAACTATCTACAGTATAGCAGGTTCACATTGGGAGAAAGGCTAAACCTTCTCTGGTGAATGAAGTGGGAATTGGGAAGGGTATAACTATACTGCTGTTGTGTACACATAATTGGAAATGAGACAGCAGGAGTAACTATGCTCTCTACATGTATGATGTATTTCTGTATGTTGTGATTCCACCTTCAAATTATGTCCACTTGTGCAACTTAAGAAATGTGGGGGCCAAATCATTCTTCATATCCATGCTTTAAAAGTGTATTATATTGTTGCAAGCACAAAGTAGATGTGAGCAAGACATTTTTTTATAAAATATTGTGATTATGAGGCAAAGGAGCCCTGGGGCGCAGAGATTAGAATGCAATATTGCAGGCTAATTCTGCCCACTGCCAGGAATGTGATCCCAACCGGCTCAAGGTTGACTCAACCTTCTACCCTTCCAAGGCTGGCAAAATGGGGACCCAGATTGCTGGGGGCAATATGCTGACTCTGTAAACCACTTAGAGAGGGCTGTAAAGCACTACGTCTTCTATTTGTTGCACGGTAAATACTATCACTTTGAAGGGGACCTATGTTGTAACACGCACAAAGCTCATGTGCCAGTAGAGTTGCAATAGATTGTGCTTTATGTCTGCAAGTGCATATTCCATTTAGTAATTTTGCTCCTGACTTAGATCCACTGAAACCATGACCGCTATGTAAAGGGTGAGGTGAAAAAAGGCCAGAAGGCACATGATGTTGGTCAGAAGAAAAAAGAGCAGAGAGGTAACCGTTCTATAGGTGTCAACCAATGTGAGCAAGATGGCTAGGAATTCCTTGTCAAGCTTCAAAGAAACTTTATTCTGCTTGACATTCCTTCCCAAATTCTGAAATGATCAGTTAATTGCTATTGAAAGAAAAGACTGTCATTTATTTCGATAGGGTAAAATTATTATTATTTAATTAGTGAAATTAATAGCGATCCAGACATTATATAACTTCAAGTTAAAACACAAATCCAGATGGACTCTGGTATCTCATAGTGTAGTGAGACAAACATCATATCATGCCAGTTTTTTTCTGGCTTAGAATAAATGAGAAGTCAGAATGTGAATTCTCTCTTTCCCCTCCCCCTCCCCCAAGCTCTCTCACAGGCCTCCATATCGGTGTTTCTCAACCTTACCAACTTTAAGCCAGTGGAGAATTCTAGGTCCAAACATCTTGAAGTTACCAAGGTTGAGAAACCTTGATCCCCATCCTCCAACCTGCCATCTGACATGCTAGCCACAAGAGCAGAGGAAGCTGCGGATGGAGGCCCGTGAAAGAGATCTTTATTTTCTACCAGCTGTGGATAAAAGGACCGGTGATGGGATCTGATCTCATTACCGTCCCAAGCCTCAGTTGCAACTGAGAGAAAGTTTCAATAGTGGATTGGGAATATCTGAGAGGGGTCCCCCCCCCTTTTTTTTTTTTTGCTTCTGAATCTAACAGGAACAAGTTTGTCTATCCTTAAACAAAAAGATATGTGAAAAGAGGAAGAGCTCAAAACTTCAAAGAAGATGCCATTCTTTGCTGAGCAAATGTTGTACCATTCTGCAAAAAAAAAAAAAAAAAAAAAATCCATTATTCAAATTTTAGATGTATGTATTTGGTGTTCTCTTTTAACCAGCTTTCAATACATCTGGAAAGAGTCACTTTTGACTACCGTTATGTTAACTCTCTTACCTATAGTGGAGGTTTTCATTTATATTTTCATTTCTTGAATTTACATACATCATTTTTCCTGTAGACTAAATAGGCTAGTGGGCAGCACAGATTAACCTGCTTTTTTATTCTTTTTGGAATTTTCTCTTCGTAGCAATGTAAAATCGGATCAAAATATTTGAATATCCTTCATGCAATTCTAGAAGATTTTCTGTTAACCCAGCTCTGCTTGCAGCCTTCAATAGGTGATACATTATTTGCACACCTCACATCACCTTGTTGGAAAATCCAGTTAGTTTCACCCTGCACTGCAAGCTACACCCTAAGAACTAGAGGTGCTTTCTTTCTGTATGTGTTTTTGTTGCAACAAAATGTAAAGAATGTTTGTTAAAGGATCATGAAACAATGCTGAAGAAGCATATATTGCTACTACCAACTACAACTGCCTTTCCAGAATTGCTGAGAATTCTGGAAGTTTGGTCATACAGATGGCATGTACCGGATTGTGAAAGACTGGATGGACCATTTCACTTTAATTTCTTATTCCTAAACATTCACATGACTAAATATGTACAATGAAGTCTGCACGGCTAGAAAACTCTCACCTGAGGTCTCTGAGGAACCAGTGCCATTCTGGGCAGACAATCTTGACAAAATGAGGTCCACTGCCTACTGAAGAGTCAGAACTGACTAAATGACAGAATAAAAAATGCTGAATTGAAGGAACCTATGCTCAACTTTAATATTAGGTAGCTTTCTAGGTTTCTGGAGCTGTGGGATGAACTTGCATGAACAATAATAAAACAGCCATTTGCAGTTTTAAGGTATCCAATTTCCTGGAATGCTAGCACTTTCTTAGGTTTCAAGGCTAAAGTACAGGGAATTGTGATACAAAAGTGCTTTTACAGCTATTCTGTCACTTATAGTTGAATGACTTCATTCCTGCTATGTGATTAAAAAGATCTGTTATTGCATAAACAATGAATCTGTCTTATCACCCAGCTGCTTCTTAATAACAGGAAAGACCTAAAACAGAGAAACACCATTGAAGAACCCAAGCTACCCATGATTAAAAGGAACATTCTTAATGTTCTGCAGAGAAGTGCGAATTACAGTAGCTTAGAAAATCCCAAATATATTTTGAGCATGTAGAAATGGTAGCCTGGATAGAACCTTTCAGCAATGATTTAAAGGTAGGATGTTGCATGTTGAGCTGAAAAGTTAGCTGAGAACTGGCATGGGCAACCAGTATGTTCAAGGTATTTTTGGCAGCTGTGTCAAGGGCCACAAAATCTTGACAGTGACATAATATGACTGAAGGCTACTGAGATGACTTTTCATCCCTTCTCATTCTGGTCTGTTGAGATAGGAAGTTAAATAAAATGAATACTTTAAATCTATCAGAGGCTAGTATTTACATTTTGTTTGGCAAGTAAATTTGGAAAAAATGTTGCCATTATAAAGACATTTGCTGCTGATTTTAGGGAATGTTAGAGGTTACAAGGGCTTGGCAGCCACATACCACCCAAAAAATTTCAGGTTGTCCATCTCTGACTTAGAAGCAGGTGACCATCTAGCACAGTTTCTCCCCTTACTAAATGGAAAGGGGACTTATTTTAAGTTCATAACTATCTCTCCTGGCATCTTAGTGTTAACTTAACATTCTCTCCATTTGGAGAGAAAGGGTCCCTGTTAGGGCAGAACCAATGCATCTCGCTCCGCCATTTTTTAAAAGAGATAGTGGCTAAGTAGCATGCAAATGGTTAAGTTGCTCTTAAACCTAGCTAATAAAAGTCCAAGCACAAAATGCTGCTTTTCAGGTGAACTCTCAGGGACAAGTTAGCAAAGTCATTCAACGCCACAATGAAATAATCAGGGCTCTGTGCAAAAGCTTAAGTTTACGTTTTTTCTGAGGCTGAAACAATTTGGCCTTTAAGTGATCCATTGGATGTCTACAAGTCTGTGCTTCTGCCCAAAATTTAGTACATGCTGGGAAGACTGTGCTTTTGCATTTCATGAATGGAAAATAACTTAGTAGCGATATTGGAAAGTATTGGAAATTCACCAAATCGCACTAGCTAAAACGAAAGAAAAAACACACATCAGACAAATTCATGGTAACACTGAAGGGAAAGAATTATGTACAAATAATTACTAATTTTAAAAAGAGTTTAAGGAATACCTGATGAAAGAGGGATTGTCAAATGAATCATAACAAATGAATTGTTGAGGATAGCTTCCGTTTCCCACTAGCCCGGTTTAGCAGTGGCTCTGAGATGCTGCTTCAGCAAATAGAAACTGAATTCCTTGCCTGTCACATCGTGTTGCTCAGCTGTGTAAGATGCCTGGCATGTGATTTCATCCAGCTTCCATAAAAGAAAAATAAAGAGACAGGTTACATGGCCCACTAAGTCCAGAAGCTTAGAAATAATTACCGAGTATTTCCGCCTCCCAATGCATAATATCATTAGTGAGTTGTAACAACAGTTATGAAGCTAGTGCCCTCTAGAGGACAGAAACAAAATCAGAATAACAAATGGTTTGAAGCTTCAGGCTGAAGAATGAGAAAAAAAAGCCTTCAGAAGGAGTGGCAGACATGTCTCCAGAGTGTTAATTCATGCCAGCCTGGCTAACAGAGATGATAAAATGTAGAAGACCACAAATTCCCCATCTTTTTGCCACTAGTCTAGATTTTTGAAAATGGATCAGAGACAAATAGATGAAGCCTGCTTGCTGCTAAATATTTTCCACATAACTTATTTGCATATAATTACAGTCCTGGCCAAATTTCCACTAGCATATTTCAGAAAGAAATTGTAGGTCTTTTCTACACATTCTTGTAAATACTGTAAAATACTTCTTGGTCCCCCTCCTTGCCCATGTATTAATGATTGGGATGAATAACCGTGGGCACATCTGTAACAAGACATAGGATGGGTACTTTTTTATTACTACCAGGTTGATGGCAGTGATGTCCATCAGGTATGTAAATAGCATTGGCTTAGTAAGGAAATAGCCTTTAGTGCTTTCAAACAAAAATTAGAGCTGTGGCCCAGAATCTCCTTTAAATCATCCTGAGATGTCTCTTAACACAAATATATATAAAGGAATTTTTATTTACAGATTTATTTACAGGATTAGAATACTATTTTGTCTGAATGAAGGAGGTGTGGAGGATAATTAAGAAGCTCATGATCTATTCTACCATTCGACTGAGTAAGTTGCCTCAAGCAATGGAGTAGATAATGCTTGATACAGAATCTGCCCCATGCCTCTCGTTGAGTTTGTGCAATGGAAGATACAACCTCAGCACCAGTGTGAAAGAGAAATTCAATTATAAATGCAGTTGGTATTTGAATCAGAGGGAGTGTGATCTTGTGCTTCCCCTCAGACAGCAAAACTCTTGAAGCAGCCCTAATTAGACATAACTTTTAATTTTGTGTATGATTAGGACCAGGGAGATTATTTTCTCTGCCAAGCACAATGCCACAATGCCACTCAAATCTTACTGCTCACAGTAGGTGACATTCCAGTGGTTGTTGTCCAAATGCAGGTGAGAGAGATCAGCCCATGTGTTCTTGAACTGAACTGATGAACTGATACTTTTCATTTTCACTGCCTGCAAGGTTTTTCCTTGGAAACAGACATCAGTGTCTGCAAAACTGATCAGTGCATAAGCTTTCTCAGTGAATACTGCCTTGTATTCTGCCCGAACTGCATAGCATGCATTGGCTCATATAACCCCTTCATGTGGCAGGTAAACTGTCCCAATTATTAAATGGTACAGGCAATTATTTCTCTCAATTCAAGGTAGTCATTCCTCTACCATCAGACATAAAGTTTGAATAACTGAGATATTCTCTTTTTTTTACTTGAATCCAAAGTAAATGCTTGCCCACTCATTCCATGACCTTCATTGGGAATGTGGTAGTTTGTATCCCTCAGGTATTGCCTGCTTCATTTCTTTTTTTCCTGGTAATGCAACAAGGGTTAATAAAATTCTGTTACCCCCAAAGAGTTATTTTTCTAGGCATGAACACCAAGCAAGATGATATCAACTTATCACTTTTGAGTTTATGATTTCTCAGTCTGCAAATGCCACATGACATGGGGTAGTATTGCAATACAAAATGTTATGAAGGAAATACAAGATCAGTTATATTAACTTAGCAGGAATATTTATGTAGAAAATCCAGATCTATAGAAGAGCTGGGCAAAATCCTATCCTCATCCCCTCTGCTAACCTTGTGATGTTTAATATATCACAACATCATTTTCAGGAACATGATTTTCAAGCAGAAAGAGTGATCCACATTTTACTTATGTTTTTTATTTTGATTGCTACTGTGATTTTATTCTGAATTACACAAAAGCTAATGGCTTTGCTCCAAACCAACTTAAAATTAATGTTTATTTTATAATCAAACAGGAAATTATTTTAGCAGCACACATAACCAATTGAAATTTATAATTGGTAGGGAATGTCTTTTTATGTCTGAGTTAAGCTCCAGTTTCTAATACAATCTGCTAGCACATTTAAGTTCATTTGGTTATATGTTAGGGAAAAGTAAAAGTCAATGAACTAAGAAATGGATTGTTTAAGAATAAGCTAAAGGAAGGAAAATATTCCTTTACAAGTAGATATATTTATAGCAATAATTTATAGGCCAGACAAGGAAAGAAGAATATATTTTTCAAATTCTAAATACTACCTGCAGCGGAATATTATTAAAACATTACTGTAGCACTCTTTGATGTAATCCTCACAAAGATTATCTA